TCATTCATAAATATTTATTAAGTGCAGGGCACCTGAGTGGCTCAGTCAGTTAAGTGTCCGACTCTTGATTTTGGCTCAGGTCATGATCTCACAGTTCATAAGTTTGAGCCCCACACTGGGCGCTGACAGTGCAGAGTCTGCTTGGAATTCTCCCTCCCTCTCTCTCTGCCCTTCCCCTACTCGCTCGCACTTTCAATCAAAATAAACATTTAAAAAATATCAAGTGTTTCTGGGAATACATGGGTGAATATGTCACAGTCCTTGCCCTTAATGAGTTTCCAATCCAATGGGAGAGGCAGATAAGTAAACAATTACACCCCCCCCCCCCCCGTGCCACCCATTACAGCAGTAACAATGCTGTTTAATAGTTGGCTATTTACTTGCTAGCCTCCATCACAGAAAAATCACAGGGTTATGGAATGGTGTCTTTATCACTCTTATATCTCCAAAACCTAGCAAAGGATCTAGCACATAAGCATTCAGGAAATATTTCTAAATGAATTAAATGAAAATAGATGATGTCAGCAACAATGAGCACTATTTTATGACAGAGTAAACTGTTAGGAAATATGGTTATGGTGGGTTGGAGATAGAATTTTGGGAAGCCTTATGTATTATACCAAGGAATTTATAGGTGATGGTACTAAGGATTCAAAGAGAATATAAGCATGGCGATGACCATCACATTTATGCTTTAGAAAGACAACTCTGGTTGGAGTGTATATTATTACAATACACGAGTGGTTTCCAAACCTTTAAACGCATATAAATGTGCATACAGAATGAGAGGCCAGTGGGGTGCCTGGGTGGCTCAGTCAGTTAAGCGACTGACTTCACCTCAGGTCATGATCTTGTGGTTCCTGTGTTTGAGCCCCGCGTTAGAACAGCTCAGAGCCTGGACCCTGTTTCAGATTCTGTTTCTCCCTCACTCTCTGCCCCTCCCCCACTCATGCTCTCTCTCCCTCAAAAATAAACAAACATTAAAAAAAATTAAAAAAGAAAAAAAAAAGAATGAGAGGCCAGCTGCCCAGAACAATGTACTTTGACCTATACTCAAGGGTCTGGCTCTGCTCAGCAAGTGCTTGAAGAAAAAAAAACAAATCATCTGGTACCTGATAGGTACTTCATATATGTACATTTCCTTCCCCTTTTCCTTCTTCTCAACACACAGATTAAGAAAGAGCCAATGGGTGGGGCACCTGGGTGGCTCAGTGGGTTGGGCATCCAACTTTGGCTCAGGGCATGATCTCGAGGTTCATGAATGCAAGTCCCTGCACTGGGCTCAGTGGGACTCTGCTTGGAATTCTCTCCCTCCCTGTCTCTCTGCCCCTTCCCCCCCTTGCTCGCTCTCTCAAAATACATGAATAAACATTAAAAAAAAAAAAAGAGCTAATGGATAAACCTTGAGGCTGAATCTTAAGGCAGAGGATTGAATAAGGCCCTCAAGAGGCAGAAAGGGAGGGCATCAAGAAGAGGACAGCTTGCTTGGCCTATGTCATGAGTACAAACAACTTTTCTTGAGATGAAAGGAAGACAATTTGAGACAGACTTAAGAAGTAGAGAGGAGGAAAGTTAGGAGAACTTACATTAACTGGGAAAAGAGTGGAGAAGAAGCAGGGGACATTAGATTGACCAATGTGAAATCTCCATCAGGAATAGATAAAAAAAATAAATAAAAGGACTTATGGAGGCTGTTAACATGTTAATTTGCAATGGCTACAAGGGCAGTTCTGAAAACACTCCCCAGCAGTGCTCAGCAATATGGGGGGAGCAAAGTGTGCAGGTGTTGGATGCTTCTAGAATTGGGAACTGGCAGGATGAGAAGGGCCTAAGGAAAGGACCCTGATCTGAGAAATTCTTGAAAGGCTGCCTAAAGTAAATAAATACAGGGCATAGGTCAGGAAGGAAAGGAAGTCAAATTAGAAGTTGACACAGTGGGGGTGCCTGGGTGGCTCAGTCAGTTAAGCATCTGACTTTGCCTCAGGTTACC